ATTGAAAGGAACAGGATACAATGGTCAAGAACTCTCTTTCATATCTATAGTAAACTCCATAAAAGGTCATATAAAGAACTATAAATAGCATACTGTTTTCCGCATAAACACAAAATAATTTGTTTTCACTACTTATACAGTTAAGATTTTCAAATTAATATTTTAACATGAATTTGTCTTTCATAATTAAATACATACATATTGCATATATTAATTATTGCTAGGATGAACAAACATTATGGATTTTCCTACCTTATTACAAGTAATGTAAACGATTCGTATTCTGACTATTGAAATACAGTTACTCATGACAGGTGAATGAAATAATTTGTAACGAGGCAATTAAAAAAGATTTATGCATTAAATGTTATTACATCATGAAAATAGCGTATTATTGTGGCAGGAGCATAAGGTTGTATCATTGTCTCTGCTCCTGTGACAGCGCACTGCCGTGGTAAATATCCAGTAATATCTGAACTTTTTAAATTTCAACCCTGCACAAAATTACACCGCACCTATACCTAAACTATTGATAAAAATAGAGTCCGGAGCAATGTAGCACAGTAGGCTGGAGCAGTAATAAAGCCAAGTATTCAGTCATGAATCATTTTAATGCAGGAAACCAGATTGACAACTATAAAACGCCCTTATCTGCATTTATATGTCATATATATATATATATATACAACGGTTTATTACGACTCTTTTGAAATACCCAAAGCTGTGCCACGCAGACTACACATTGTACCCGACATTGTATCACAGTACTGTAGACCAAAGTCCACCACTTTTCCACACCCATTTATGGACGCATAATATTGTTATGATGCGTTCACAATCACTAGTCTCTACTGTGGCAAGTGAAAGCGTAATCAACCATTGGTAATAAATTCATAGATTTGTATGAAAGCAGTAAAATATAAGAGAAACAGAATGGCGAAGTTTAATAAAAAAAAACACTTACCGATAATAAGGAGAGTTATGAATGTCTGAGACAATTATGAGATCACTAAATCTATGCGAATTTCAAATTGCCAATCTGATGAGTGAATTGTGACGTAGTCATGGACAGCCCATGGAAAGCCCTCCTGAGTTCTATATTTTGAAAAATGTACATTTAAGTAATTTTGTTTCTTGGAACATGTCAAATAGGACAGTTTTCCGGCACTACATTCAGCCAATTTGAAGTGCCCTTGCGTGTAGTCATTACAAATATCAAAAAACACATCCTATACAATTTAAAATACAAATTATATTAAATCAATTATTCCAAGATATATGATTATGTGGAATATAACAATTATGTTTTGTAAAGGAAACTTGTGATAATAATGATAGTGAGTTCTTGTACAGCGCTTATGTCTGTCAGACTTAATAATTGACGCTCCTGGCGCTATGCAATCGTCACCTGGCTTTTAGCATGTCTGCCATTACGACGCTCTAGCATTTCAAGGAATTAATATCTGCCAGGTACCCATTGGATTCACCTGGGTCGAGTGTGGCAAATGTAGATTAATGTCTTGCCAAAGGACATTAGTGCCAAATGGTACAAACTGGTATTAAAACATATGCCGTTGGTTAAATGAAACATATTGATGTAATCGTAACAATTTGAAAATGTTTGCGTGTCTTGTATCGTCCCGTATTGCAAAATCCAAGTTCCCATTATTTAAACATATATATATATATATATTATTCCATTATTAATCACTGCTCCGTATCAAATTTGAGTTTTTCAATATTGCAATTTTGAACGATGAGTTGCCTGGGGCGGTGAGAGAGAGAATTTTTTGAAAGCTTTTTTAATTTTCAAATTGAATAGATTGCCACTTGTAGACCTGATTCCAAAGGCAGAGGTAACCAATCATTGTACAAAGGATTCGATTTGCGTCAGTGGAATTTAGATGACCTACTTTCTTTTGTGATGATTGTGTATAGTTCCAGCATGGGGTCTATGAACAAATACAGTCAACTTAAGATAACAAGAGTTATTGTGAGATATTGCTAGAATATTCATGCTCTATTTATTTCCCTTTTGAGGGGGAGGAGAAAGGCATAATCCAGAAAGTTGAAGGTCACGATTATCAAGCCCAAATTTGTGACTGTGATTAACCTTAAGTACATTTCTCCTATTTCCTCCGTTAAAAAAAATCATAACATTTCATAAAATGTGTATTTTTCACTATAACCATGGAAAATCTTTATTATACCAGTGACTTAAATACATTATTTGGCCATATGTTTGTGTTATTTTCCCATATGTATATTCAGTTATTAATAATCACGAATACATTTGTAAAATTCATTCAAAATAGGAATGGAATATGTGCTTGCAAATTTAAAAATTTTCCTACTTAATGTAGAACACGTGCAATTTTTAATATCATAAACCTGTTTTTTCCCTTCTATTTCTCACTCATCGTTTTCTTTTATTGGTCTGATTTTATTACAATTACTGTAGGTTCATAAGTACGTCACTTTGTACCTGTATGTAGCAGTACTAAAACTGTATTTTGTTTATCATTATCAATAATGATAATGATAATAATAATAATAAACATAATAATATGTCTCGTTTACCGAGGGCTTAACCTTATCAATGTAATACTGTTCTCCCTGAGGGCCCTGCAACCATGTTCTATGCAAAAAAAGAAGAAAGACTAAGGGGAAAATGATCTAAAATCTCACCGCCGTTAATTGCTCCGGGATTCATTATGTCATAATATTCTCTCATTTACATTTCTCACAATGGTATATTCATTGCCAATAGAGTCGCCAAAGTCGTTGAATTTACACTTATCAATGTATTTCAAGCTGAAAGTTAGGATTCAACAGAGGTCACAAAATGTATGATAGGAGAAGAGAAGGGGATCTACAGCTCCGGAGACAATCGCTCAGCGATCAATATCCTACACTAACAAAATTTAAGACCTCACCCTTGGACGATATACCCAAATCCAATCTGGGCAAGTTCAGAATCATATCCAGACTTTTATCCGTAATTCCGGTGTGGAGATATTCTATTAAAACATATCAAAAATCAACTAAATCTTGATCAATTATTGTACCATGGGGTCGGATGAGACCGTAGCTTAAAAGGACTTTACCATCGCTGGTGCCTTTAACATTTAATAAGTTTATACGAGTATCTTTTTTGTTGTTGTATTTTTGTATTTTTTTTTTTTACTTAATCCCATATAGTAGGCTATCAAGAATTATATACGATATATGTATATAATGTTTTTTTATATAAACGGATGGTAGCACAGGCAATTCATTGTTCTTTGTGTAAACTATTAACGAGACGATCTTTTGCCACAGGCTTGGTACTTCAAAATAATGTTCCATACATTGGGAGCGTTTTCATATTAGATTATTGTATCATTGTGATGGTGTACTAAATTTTAAATAAATTGATCGAAGATTTATCGGTAGATTATATAAAGTATAGGTTGATTTTTCTGAAGTAGTTGCGATTGTGTTTTTGTTAATACGCACGTTGTGAGTTGCAGGGGCGTACGCAGGGGGGGTGTTTTGGGGGTTCAAACCCCCCCTTTGGTATTTTATTGTATGTAAACCCCCCTAAAAAAACCTAAAACCCCCCCCCCCCCCCCCCTTTGGTTTTTTTGGTTTTTTTTTTTTTTTTTATAAAAATAAAAAATAAAAAAAATAAAAAAATTATACCCACGGCTAACCTAAATAAGGTGACCTTAACCCCCCCCCCCCATACGTAAAAAAATGTCAAATTTTGAAATTTTGAGACCAAAAAAAAAAAAAGTGTCCGCTTACCCCCCCCCCCCCCCCCCCCCCCCCCACTGAGCGACTTTTCGGCCGGCGCGATTTTCAAATTTTCGGGAGCAAAATATTTTAAAACCCCCCCTTGAAAAAATCCTGCGTACGCCCCTGGTGAGTTGAATCAGCCAAGGGAATAAATATAGATACTACACTATTATATGGAAGGCCATCTTTTTTCGAAGGAGTTTTAGAGGAGAGAGAGATAGAGAGAGGGAGAGAGAGGGGGGGGGGGGGGAGAAGGGGAGAGATGTGTGGGGAATAGAGGAATGAACAGATACAGAAAAAGAGTAATATTAGTAGGATATAAAAAGATATAAAGAGACAAAGATAAACAGAGACAGCTAGATGTGAAGCGATCGTGTAAAGGAGACAGAGAAAGAGTGAACGACAGAAAGAGAGAGAGAGAGAGAGTGAGCGAGAGAGAGTGTGTGTGTGTGTGTGAGGAGGAAAAAGGCAGATATATCTGATAAAAACTGAGTTGCATGTAAACTCAATATGCATTTCTCTAGCTCTAACACCATAAGAAACATAATTAACAGTAAACCATATTCTAATTAAAACATTTATTTGAACTATATCTCGTTTGGAATAAAAAGAAAACACAATATTCATTACCCCAAAAATGTACAGGCCAACAAGTTTTGACCTCAACTAAACTTCACAAACACTTGAACAGAAGAATGGATATCACAGTTGTATACATGTTCCCACCTAACATTATTTAATTTAACAACCTATCCCCACTTTCATACATGCTACAGACTTCTATAAGAAATTGCCCTGGATAGTCCAAAAGAGGCTCTTTTGTCTGTCACGTAAAAACACGGGCGCCAATGCATATCGTTCTAATACGATTGAAGGTCTTGTTAATATTATTATTCTTGTTATTAACTGATACCCTATTGTAAACGTTGGTAGCTAGGTTTTTAGTTTAATTAAATATACGAACTTGATACCCGAGTTACATCAAGAAGACAAATATGAAACCAAAAGCAGGCCGAAGAATGAAAACAAATTACGTTACCTCCAATGTCGAGGAATCGGTCGGTTTGTAGTCGGTACAGAATTGGTTTTGGCGGTGAGGGTAAGGTATAAGAGAGTCTGTGAATTAAGACTAATACATATAGCCGCCCACACAGCAACGAATGCAGGAAAAGTGCGTCAAGAGTATAAATATCTTCCATTTTGCAAAGTGTGTCTTTACAATATTATACGCACTACAGTATTATATGACTTTGTGTACAGCTATCTCAGGGAGTAGTACTACCGAGATAATACCGCACTGCTTTCTACTAATGCCTTTTTAAGGGAAGAAAATAGCAGAACTATTACTGGTAAGTGGCGTATTTTATCTAGCCATCATTAAATATTGATATCGTCAAGAAATTAGCACGATTATTAAATAAATGACAAGTCCAGTATTATATTACATAGGGAAGAAAATAGCAGAACTATTACTGGTAAGTGGCGTGTTTTATCTACCTATCATTAAATATTGATATCGTCACGAAATTTGCACGATTATTAAATAAATGACAAGTCTAATATTATATGACATATGTTTCAAAGAACAAGGACTTGTACGAATACATATTGTTGAGATGCAATGTTTTTTATGCACATTTCTTTATATATGATTCTAACCCTGGAGCAATTTTCATCTTGGAAAGGATATGCAGGTAGATGTATATACTTCTGGTGTTACTGTGTACCCTACAATCATAATATCTAACGTATTATCATCAGCGCTATTAATATATGGCTATGGCGGCCAGCTTCATATGCAACTGCATGTCTGCATCCCATTTTCTATTAGGCTACTGCACAACTGCGGCCTTGTCCGGGTCAATAGATATTTGACAATGTCAATCTTTTTTTAATTCTTTAAAAATCTGTAGTTTTGTAAGCGCTCTTTTAATACAAGTTTTTTAATTTTATTTCTGTCCCCTCAAATTTCCGATATTCTTCTTCTCTTTCTCTATTCCTCTATTTGTATATCCTATTGTTTAAAAACAAATCTTATTATAAGGATAATAATTATTTTCATCAGCAGCACTATCACTGTTATTATTATTATCATTATCATTTTTTTGTTTTTAATTTTTTTTTTAATAATTTTTTTTTTTACTATTACCACTATTGTTGTAGGTGTTTAGTTTTATATAATGTATTACCTAGCGGCAATATAATGAAATATTTTCAAACACAATACTCATCATAGATTTCTGTAATCATTCTGCAATTTCGTTTGTGGAGTGAAATCGGTACAATGTGATGTGGTTTACATTTTTTTTTAAAGTTTGAATATCGAGGCCAGCTGCGAGTGCATCACCTTAAATATGAAATAGGCAGATGTTTCAAAATAATATTTCCCCTGTGTAATATGATGAATGTAGTATAATGAGTTTATATTGTGAAACATGTAGTCCTGCACGTGGTACAATATGGATCACATGATGAGAATCAACACACACGTTTCAAGGTGATACATAAAACTGTCGTTGGCTGGGCAGGGACTTGGGGTGATTATAACATGTAATTTAGTTGGCAAGTTGTCATCCGCTCATGCAGCCTGTGGACTTTCTCAAACCAAGTGATTCTTTACACATTATACTAGGTGTCTGCTGTCGAGAGATTTTTAAATTGTCCTTGGTGTTAAGTGGACAAAAAAAACATAATGTAGATCAAGCTGTTTGGGTTTTCTTAATAATTATGTAGTATCTTACACTTACCAATTGAAAGGAACAGGATACAATGGTCAAGTACTCTCTTTCATATCTATAGTAAACTCCTTAAAAGGACATATAAAGAAAAATAAATAGCATACTGTTTTCCGCATAAACACAAAGTAATTTGTTTTCACTACTTATACAGTTAAGATTTTCAAATTAATATTTTAACATGAATTTGTCTTTCATAATTAAAATACATGCCTATTGCATACATTAATTATTGCTAGGATGGACAAACATTATGGATTTTCCTACCTTATTACAAGTAATGTAAACAATTCGCATTCTGACTATTAAAATACAGTTACTCATGACAGGTGAATGAAATAATTTTTAACGTGGCAATTAACAAAGATTTATGCTTTAAATGTTATTACATCATGAAAATAGCGTATTATTGTGGCAGGAGCATAAGGTTGTATCATTGTCTCTGCTCCTGTGACAGCGCACTGCCGTGGTAAATATCCAGTAATATCTGAACTTTTTAAATTTCAACCCTGCACAAAATTACACCGCACCTATACCTAAACTATTGATAAAAATAGAGTCCGGAGCAATGTAGCACAGTAGGCTGGAGCAGTAATAAAGCCAAGTATTCAGTCATGAATCATTTTAATGCAGGAAACCAGATTGACAACTATAAAACGCCCTTATCTGCATTTATATGTCAGATATATATACATACAACGGTTTATTACGACTCTTTTGAAATACCCAAAGCTGTGCCACGCAGACTACACATTGTACCCGACATTGTATCACAGTACTGTAGACCAAATTCCACCACTTTTCCACACCCATTTATGGACGTATAATATTGTTATGATGCATTCACAATCACTAGTCTCTACTGTGGCAAGTGAAAGCGTAATCAACCATTGGTAATAAGTTCATAGATTTGTATGAAAGCAGTATAATATAAGAGAAACAGAATGGCGAAAGTTTAATAAAAAACTTACCGATAATAAGGAGAGTTATGAATGTCTGAGACAATTATGAGATCACTAAATCTATGCGAATTTCAAATTGCCAATCTGATGAGTGAATTGTGACGTAGTCATGGACAGCCCATGGAAAGCCCTCCTGAGTTCTATATTTTGAAAAATGTACATTTAAGTAATTTTGTTTCTTGGAACATGTCAAATAGGACAGTTTTCCGGCACTACATTCAGCCAATTTGAAGTGCCCTTGCGTGTAGTCATTACAAATATCAAAAATCACATCCTATACAATTTAAAATACAAATTATATTAAATCAATTATTCCAAGATATATGATTATGTGGAATATAACAATTATGTTTTGTAAAGGAAACTTGTGATAATAATGATAGTGAGTTCTTGTACAGCGCTTATGTCTGTCAGACTTAATAATTGACGCTCCTGGCGCTATGCAATCGTCACCTGGCTTTCAGCATGTCTGCCATTACGACGCTCTAGCATTTCAAGGAATTAATATCTGCCAGGTACCCATTGGAATCACCTGGGTCGAGTGTGGCAAATGTAGATTAATGTCTTGCCAAAGGACATTAGTGCCAAATGGTACAAACTGGTATTAAAACATATGCCGTTGGTTAAATGAAACATATTGATGTAATCGTAACAATTTGAAAATGTTTGCGTGTCTTGTATCGTCCCGTATTGCAAAATCCAAGTTCCCATTATTTAAACATATATATATATATATATATATATATATATATATTATTCCATTATTAATCACTGCTCCGTATCAATTTTGAGTTTTTCAATATTGCAATTTTGAACGACGAGTTGCCTGGGGCGGTGAGAGAGAGAATTTTTTGAAAGCTTTTTAAATTTTCAAATTGAATAGATTGCCACTTGTAGACCTGATTCCAAAGGCAGAGGTAACCAATCATTGTACAAAGGTTTCGATTTGCGTCAGTGGAATTTAGATGACCTACTTTCTTTTGTGATGATTGTGTATAGTTCCAGCATGGGGTCTATGAAAAAATACAGTCAACTTAAGATAACAAGAGTTATTGTGAGATATTGCTAAGATATTCATGCTATATTTATTTCCCTCTTGAGGGGGAGAAGAAGGGCATAATCCAGAAAGTTAAAGGTCACGATTATCAAGCCCAAATTGGTGACTGTGATTAACCTTGAGTACATTTCTCCTATTTTCTCCGTTAAAAAAAAAATCATAACATTTCATAAAATATGTCTTTTTTCACTAACCGTGGAAAAACCTTTATTATACCAGTGACTTAAATACATTATTTGGCCATATGTTTGTGTTATTTTCCCATATGTATATTCAGTCATTAATGATCACGAATACATTTGTAAAATTCATTCAAAATAGGAATGGAATATGTGCTTGCAAATTAAAAAAATTTCCTACTTAATACTTAATGCTTAATACTTAATGATCATTAATGATCACGAATACATTTGTAAAATTCATTCAAAATAGGAATGGAATATGTGCTTGCAAATTAAATTTTTTTCCTACTTAATGTAGAACACGTGCAATTTTTAATATCATAAACCTGTTTTTCCCTTCTATTTCTCACTCATCGTTTTCTTTTATTAGTCTGATTTTATTACAATTACTGTAGGTTCATAAGTACGTCACTTTGTATCTGTATGTAGCAGTACTAAAACTGTAATTTGTTTATCATTATCAGTTCCGGAGAATAATAAATAATAATGATAATGATAATAATAATAATAAACATAATAATATGTCTCTTTTACCGAGGGCTTAACCTTATCAATGTAATACTGTTCTCCCTGAGGGCCCTGCAACCATGTTCTATGCAAAAAAAGAAGAAAGACTAAGGGAAAAATGATCTAAAATCTCACCGCCGTTAATTGCTCCGGGATTCATTATGTGATAATATTCTCTCATTTACATTTCTCACAATGGTGTATTCATTGCCAATAGAGTCGCCAAAGTCGTTGAATTTACACTTATCAATGTATTTCAAGCTGAAAGTTAGGATTCACCAGAGGCACTCCGCTTTGCATTGTTCATATCTCAAATGCCGCCGACAAAAAATTAATAAAGGTTAAATATTTGTCAAATTATGGGACAATAAAATTGAATCCGGCAACGCCGAATCTATTGGCCCATGTCTAGCGCATGCCCAGCCCCACTTCGGGAGCATTCATGTTCCCAAAATCTCTGGTAAAGGGGTATTGTTCACGCAATAAAGTAGGGCTCGTAATACATTAACAACAAAAAATCGGCCCATTTGATTTCACAAACGAAATTAGGTGATTTAAGTCAGGGACCAGGGTACGATTACCAGCGGAGATGGTTTTTTTTTGTTTAAACCTTTGCAAAAATGAAAAAAGGTAAACAGCACTGAGTATTATTTACAAATCAATGCTCAATTAGTCTCTTATTTCATTATATATATATATATATATATATATATATATATATATATATATTATGGACATCATCAAGTACATTATGATGGAAAGAAGAATTTTAATATTTTCCACCGTTTTAGGTAAATTTGACCCGACTCCAACATGGCCGAACCACCAGTCTACACTCCCCCTGAACAACAGAATACCGCCGACCCACCTCCCGGAGTATATCCACAAGGTCAACCGGCAGCAAATCCGCAGGGCCACCCGGTAGCATATCAACAGGGCCAACCGGTAGCTTATCCGCAGGGCCAACCGGGAGCATATCAACAAGGTCAACCGGTAGCTTATCCACAGGGCCAACCGGTAGCATATCAACAAGGTCAACCGGGAACATATCCGCAAGGCCAACCGGTAGCATATCAACAAGGTCAACCGGTAGGATATCCGCAGGGCCAACCGGTAGCATATCCACAGGGTCAACCAGTAGCTTATCCGCAAGGCCAACCAGGGGTAGTGTATCCGCCAGGTCAGCAGGTCGTCATCACTCAAGGGGGCGCCACCCATGTGTACCAAGTAAGAATCTCTTATTGAGGGATCCATGTGGTGTTCCACAGGGATACGTGATATGGCCCATCATTTTCTATAGGATTTATTCAATTTCTTGACGAATCCTTTGGGCGTAGGCTGGGGTCGCTCTGTTAGGGACTTATTGTAGTAAAATGATAATAAGAATATACATTTATAGAGCGCAGGCACTATGCAAATATATTCTACTGTGCTGCAAGAGCTCCTGGTATGCTTACTATCTACAACATAAAGTTAAAAATTAACAATATGTAGCAAAACATAGAACTTTGGGACTAAAGAACAAAATGTAGGCCTAATTCACTCTCCTTTCCATTAGCCTATACAATTTGCTTTCTCCAGGGATGAGGTGTTGGTCTATCTTTTCCCTGCTATGTAATTGGAATTCAAAGGGAATTTAAATGAAAGTTAAACTTATTGATAGGTATCGAAGCATATTCGTTTACATGACAATACACCAAAACAACAACGTGCAATGTTCTTTTTACAACGCTACAGAAAAAAAGTTCTATCAGGTAAAGACAAACTGTGTTTATATTTACTCGATAATAATTAAAATCCAGTTTGACAATGACTAATGATGTGCGCTTTGGATTTAGATAGATGTAGTATATAAAATGCACGACCATACCATTTTGCTTTTAACACTTAGAATCCATGGCTTCGTTTTCCGGGACTATATTCTTCTTTGCCTAATTTTAAAACTTTTCCTCAATTTGTTGTTAACCCTTTTAGACTGGCAGCAGCTCGGGTGGTTGGAACAATACCTCCGAACATTACAACCAAAAAGCCGGCTTCGCTACGGGGATAGTGCATCTGATCGTAGCTATCCTGTCTGTCATTCTCGGCGGGGTTGCATACGCGTTTCCAGTGTATCAGGTCGGCTATGGAATCTGGTCTGCCTTCATTGTACGTTAATCCTTCTTTCATTCGCGATTTTATTTCTTTCGGGGGTGGGGGTCTTTTTTAAAATATTTTTTTTAATTGAAGCCCTAGATACCCGTGTTATAGACAACTTCTCCCAAAGTTTGAAAACAATCCCCAGTCCCCTCCCCCATCTTGTCAAGTCCATACAATACTTAAAATCTTGGCTCGAATGCTTGAATTTAATGTAAATCTGTTTTGGGGACTCTACTCTGAACTGCTGTCTGGATATTGATGCTTCATGATGCCTTTCAATTTCCAAGAAATATTATTTAGTGTTTTATTGCTTCACCTTTTTCGATTTCGTAAAAAAATATTAAAGTCTCCGTCTCTTTTTCTAGTAGCCCCTCTATATGGCATCCATCGGACACAGAGATTATGCTTACACCAGCAACTTACCTCTTTCTTATATTAAGGTTTTCAAAGAAAAATTGTGGTTTAAAAATTGACGTCGTATTTTCTCTAAGTTCTCTAAGAGCGTCTGCCAGATATAAGGCAAGAAAGCATGAAGGGGAACATCGTCTTTTGGGCAATTTCTCTTCCACTTGAAACATCCAGGTGTACTGATTCGACTTTAATGTATCCAGTACACAATCAAAGGAAAATATTGTTCAATTAGGCTGTATGTGTGCATTTTTTCATTAGGTACATTGATTTTATCTCTTTTAAAAAAATTCTTTACAGTTCTATCTCCCTACAGGAATCTTAGGGATCGTTAGCAAGAAGAAGAACTCGTGCGTGGTAAGTGATGCCTATTAATCCCCTTTTCCACTTAGGCCTATCATATTCCTTTGATTTGATGTATTTATTCACCCCCAGAGGCGGCCCTCCGCGGGGGGGGGGGGGGGGGGGGGCAAGGGGTGCTTCAGTGCCCCCCACTTTTTCAAGCACCCGAAAAGTGCACCTTTTAAATAGGAATAGTGCCTCTTTTACTTTGAAAAGTGCCCCTATTAATTTGTAAACGTGGCCCTTCCCCTTTTCAACTCTGATAAGTGCCCCCTTTTTTTTGGAGACGTGCCCCATTTCCTTCGACAAGTTTACATTTTCATTTGCAATAAGTGTCCATTTTCCCTTCTCATAAGTGCTCTTTATAATCTCTAGTAAGTGCCCCTAGTTAGGTACGAGAAGTGCCTCTTTTCTCTTTTGATAAGTGCCCCCTTCAACTTTGATAATTGTCCTATTTAAATATGAGAGGTACATGCCTCTTTTACTTTGACAAGTGCCCCTTTTTCTTTGTAAGAAGTACCCCTCTCCTTTTGATAACTACCCCCCCCCCCCCATTTCAACTCGGATAAGCGCACCTTATATTTTCACATGTGCCATTTTGCTTGTCTAGTAAGTGACCCTTTTTCTAATGATAAGTGCCCCATTAAAAAAAGAGCCCCTTCCCTTCTCATAAGTGCCTCTTCTCTGGTAAATGACCCTTTTCAGGTACGAGAAGTTACCTCTTTTCGCTTCAGATATGTGCCTCCTTCACCTCCGATAAATGCCCCTTTGAAATCTGATCGGTGCCCATTTTCTTTTAGCTAATGCACATTTCCCTTTATTACTAGTGCCCCTTTTTCATTCACATAAGTGCCCCTTTTCACATTTGGGCATTGCCCCTTTTCAGATGCGATAAGTGCCTCTTTTCACCTCTGATAATTTCCCTTTTAACAATATATAATAATATCTTATAAATGCCCCTATCAAAATCTGATGGGGGCTCCTTTTCTGTCGACAAATGCCCATTTCCTATTGTCATGACTGACTTTTTTCATCCCTTGTGAGTGCCTCTTTCTGAGGATGTAAGAAGTGCCCCATTTTCACCTCTGATAATTACTCTTTGTACTTTGGCACATGCTCCTTTTCTTTCCTGATAAGTGTCCCCTTTTCCTCTCATCATTAAACGCGCCCTAGCTAATTTCAAGCGACTAAGAATAATTATCCCCCCCAAAAAAAAAGCTCGCTCGCTACGCTCGCACGCATCTATAGATGATATACTAATGTTACATATCAGACTTCCGTTTGTTTATGTGCTTATAACCCCATTAGGATTGGGTTTTTTCCTCTTTAAAAGATGTAATTTTTCGCACTGCGACCTCTTAAAATTTTCCTTGCTCGCTTCGCTCGCTCGCAAACAATTTTTTTGGCAATAATACCCAACTGTAAAGCATGAGCAATATTTTGTATGGTGTATAAAGTGATACAAATATTGAAATCACCCCTTATAATTGTAATCACAATGCAGGGGTATATACCAATATCTAAAAAAATCGTATATTTTCGCTTTGAGATTTTCCTTTGTAGGTGCCCTTTTCTTCCTGAAAGTGCCCTTTTTTCTTGGTGCCCCTCCCCCCACTTTGGTAGTCGCTCGGCCGCCCCTGTTCACCCCTCATGGGTTGGATTGCCCTTGTCAGCTCAATCGTTTTCTTTCATAGGGATCCAAGCAAAATAATAATGAATCATATGAACAAAAAAGGGACTTATAATATACACTGTTGGTCATAAAGATGGATTTTTTTTTACCCAGATTTATCGAATGATTTTGACAATGATTTGTTACTAATAGATCTAGATAATAGTATACATTCTCAAATTTTATTATATAATAAGTTGCGAGTGTTTGTTTTGCGTGACTGCTTAAATGTCATACAAAGTTTTGGTATGGGGTCATGAATATGGTTCGAATGAACATATTGGAACCATATGCGATTTTACATTATTTAGTGATCGTTGTCACGGTTGAAATCGAGTTTAAAGTGATGAAACTGTACATAATAAACTCTTTATGTTGTATAGCTCCCTCTCAAGACTGATATTACCAGTTTTAAACAATATTCATGGTCGCAGCTACCATGGAATGGCCTTAGGCGCTATTTGAAATATTCGAAATTTTCCGGGAGCACTGGTACATTTTTGATTATTCAATTACTCGAGAGCAGAAGTGTTTTAGGAGCTAAATTATCAAAAGCTTATAATACATTCACAGGGGCATCCAAATATATCAATATTTTAAAGAATTAGTATCCATCCAATTTTCAAGAATTCCCAAAACTTTGCATTACCTTTAAGCATGCGTATGCTACTATGCTTATCAACTATAGGGGACCTACGTCCTTAAGTCATAACTGACAGTAATGAGGATTAATGCCACACAAAAGGGCACTAATAAAGCACACCGACACGGTTTTGATCCTAGGGCCTCACAGTTACGAGGCCATTGCTGTGCCACTAAATCATGACTAAACGCAGCGGGGGCTAGAGTAGGGGGCATCCCCTACAAATACAAAAAAAAACTGATAAAATGCAATAAATTATTAACAATTCATTACATTTCCCTCCGGTCCCCAACAGGAAAAATTCCTCCCTGTGGCCATGCCTGGAACCATAACGCTTGGTCGTACAGGGGATTTTTTCCTGTTGGGGACCGAGGGGGAAATGCAATGAATTGTTTATAATTGATTGCATTTTTTGTTGTTGTATTTGTGGGGGCAGCTCCCTACTCTAGCCCAGCTACGTGCAGTCATGATTCAGTGACACAGCAATGGCCTCGTTACTGTGATGCCCCAGGATTAAAACCGTGTCGAAGTGCTATAATAAGAGACAACACTAGTCCGAACAGCTGCTTCTTAATCTTCGTAAAGCTTGGTTATTAATCTCACCAGGTGTGCTGGGAATCCCATTCTGTACATATAATCCCACAACATCTTGTGATCTACACAGTCGTAAGCCTTTGCATAATCTATGAAACACATTTTTCTATAATCATCCTGATGTTTGCAACTTGATCTCTAGTACCTTTGCCTGGCACAAAGACCGCTTGCTTCTCTGACATTAATCATCCATGTACCTCCTTTTCATCCTGTCAATGATGATCTTTAATAGTATTTTGCTCGCATAAACAAGAAGAATGATGGTTCTATGATTAGAAAATTCTTTCTGATTGCCTTTTTTAGGGAAAGGTATAAAAATAGCTCTGTACCAGTCTTTGGGCCATTCTTCATTCTCCCATATCTTGATACATAGCCGCCATAAGAGATCAATACCTATTTCACCTGTTGCTTTCCATACTTCAATAGGTATATTATCCATTCCAGGAGATTTACCATTATCTATATGGTTCAGAACCCATTCAACTTCCGATCTCAGTGGAGGTGGTTCGCTGTCTTCTCCAACCGGTCTGTTGCCTCTCTGACCTGGCTCTCTACTGCTGTACAAATCCCTGCAGTACTCTGCCCATCTTTGTTTTATGTCCATTTTTGTCATTCACAACATCAGTGTTCATGCTGCTGCCTCCAGTAATCTCTTTTACAAGTTTGAAAAGTTTCTTCATGTTGTGCTTCTTTGCTGCATTTCCCATTTCTTTACATTTTCCTTCTAGGAATGCTTTTTTTTTAATCTTCACATGCTTTTTGGTTATATTCCTTATTTAGTTGTCTCCAATCTGTGTGTCTCCCTTCTGATTTTGCTTGCCTTATTTTACTTGCAATTTCCATTGTACTAGTTGTTAGCCATGCCTGTTTTTGCCTTTTCTTCCGTGGTATGTATTCCTGAGCAGTCTTTTTCAGTATATCTGATGTGCTTGCCCACAGCACTTCTGGCTTCACATCTTCTTCTGCCAGTTGTAGAAGTGGCATGAATCTGTTATATCTGTTATCTGTTATCTGTGCTGGTATATTCATCACATCAAACCTGACTGGTTGAGCAGTTGTCTTCTTGGACTTGAGTCTCAGTTTCATTTTACCAAGCAACATTTGGTGGTCACTTCCACAACCGGCACTTGGTCTTGTCTTAACAAGTAAAGTTGTCCTCCACCTTCTCTTAATCATGATATAATCTATCTGATTCTTCACTCTATCTCCAGGACTTTTCCAGGTCCAGAGTCGCCTCTTTTGATGTTGAGACATGGTATTGCCAATGACTATAGGTCATTTGCAGTGCAAAACTCCACAAGCCTGTCTCCACGCTCATTTCTGTAACCTAAACCAAATTTTCCAATATTGCAAGTTTCTCTAACATCCTTTCCCACTTTGGCATTACAGTCTCCAATCATCATTGTGATATCCCTCCCCGAGATACTGTCCAGGGTATCTTGTAAGACTCCATAAAGTTGTCCATTTCTTCCTCAGTAGCATCTGTTGTTAGGGCATATACTTGAAATACTGTGATGTTATGAGAAACTATTATTTGGTGTTCAACTTTAAAAGTTCTACAATGAACGACTATGAATTAGGCATCATGGATATAACACAGCAAAAGCTTACGGGTCTAACTTAGTTGAATATTTGATAAAAAATAGTTGCTAGAGAGCATAATACCGCAGTAATATGGATACTTGTACTGTGATGAGCCATTAGCATGCAATGTATGCTTCACCTCTCTAAAATTAAGTAAACTGTTGCACTGAGAACAACTTCTAATTCCAATTACCATGAGGATAATGTAATGTATAGGCTGTACCCCTACATAGCCCTACCAACAACTCTTGTGTTTGCACGGATACTCCTAAGGGCCAGTTTTTCTGAATATTTTTGTTTTAGTTTTTTCAATATAATTAAAATAACATGATATTTGTCTATTACATAACGAAATAACATCATCTGCTAAATAAAGGTGATAAATTGAGCATAAATTACATGTTGGATTGTGTGGGTGTGGGTCTGCGGGGGCTTTGTTTCAGGTGTGAAATGTACCTGTAGTATATGGGTATTTTAGTTGATACAAAATGTACAGCAGATCACTTTTCCTACTCCTTTAGTGCCACAGCAGCCTATACGAGTTGAAAAATATGACAAAATCTATGTGAAAATCCTCGAAATAGCGGCCATATTGGATTTATGCAAATTAGGGACACTTCCACTGCTTGGATTTTTTGGACTTTTAGTATGTCATTTGGGGGACCTTACTAAAATGCATTGCAGTGAAAAATATTTTATTGCAATTTTGTTGACGTTTACCTACAAAATGTAACATCTTTCCTAGCCTATGATTCCCCAAAATGTATATGAACAGTTTAGCAAAAATTAGATAAAATCATAAACGATTGATAAAAAAAAATATAAGAGACAAACAAAAATAAAAACTGGCATGGTAAATCTGTAAGGGGCATACATATTGTGTCTTGTGTATTTGATATATACCATTTTTAGACTTTAAGAGGACATCCGGGCCGGGCGCCTCCTCCTCCCATCCCACCCTCCCATCCCTCCATTCCATTATCACAATGTGACATCATTTCTTTATCAGATCATCGCATACATGGTGATGGCAATCCTGTGTACTGTCCATGCTTTCGGGATGCTGGCATATGAATCATTTGTAGCCGCAGTGCTGACCTACTTTGTGTCCTGTTACCGACGGTACTATGGTTTCAGCTCCGATTATATCTGTGCATATCATCGTTCGGTGGTAAGTCATATGCACTTTATCTTTACATTATTCTATGAATGCATGGAATCCTTCATCAATTGAAGTGATAGTTGAGTTCTTGTTTCAGACAGCAAATGCGTTCAAAGCGCAAGTTATTGCTTTCATTCTTATTTATGACATTTCTAGTTTCTAGGACCTAAAATTGCTACGAAAGTAATTTAAGACCCCAAAATGTGTGGAATTTAGCCAATACGATCATACCAATTATGCTCTACTTTAAAAAAAGAATACAGCGACCGTCAATTGATTAATTAATTAATAATAACAATACATGGGTCGGTTGGTTGTACGTATTAAAACCAACACAAAAAGCCAACATCGGCATTGGCTGGAATAAAACGTATAAGGCGCTATTTTCAATGGCTGGTTCAAATTATCTAATATTTGTGGTGTACACAAGTATTAGAAATGGTTATATTTATGGATATTTCAGCCGTCTCCGAACCGATTTCGATCGAACAAAGATGATTTTGTCATTTAAATTGCATGTTCTTTCAAATTTGACACTCAGTTTTTCATTATCTCACAAAAATATTTTGTGTAACGCCCTCTGCAACAAAACTGAACTATCCCCTTAAGCCTCGTTCAGAAATGACAAGGCAAAACCGCGGTGGTTTTTTCCTCTTCTTTATGATGACATGAAGTGTTTTGCACATCATATTTCTGTATCTTATAACGCAGAGTTCAGTGAAGACGGGTAGAACCTTTGTTGCGCGCAGTTAAGTTGTGCTGAAAGTTGTTATATAATGCTCTGCACATCATTTTACAAAATCTTCTTTAAAGATAAAACTGTTTTACATATTCCACTCTTCAAAGATTTATTAAACAAACGCTACGATTGATTCTATGTAATTATGACGTCTTTTTTCAGACTCTCTAAACATTTCCTAAAATGTCCTGTATGTTTCTCCATAATTATTCATATTGTATTTGATACGGTCACTATGTCATTACAGACAATTTACTAAAGACACTAAGTTACCTCAATGTGCGTGTAAAGGATATTAATCTTATTCTTAACCCCTTTTGCATCAATAACTGAAATTAATTTTAGAGCTTGCTACGATATATTCATGCGCAAGCTCTCGTGCTCTGATGCTATTCAACGCTTTTCTTGTAACATATGAGAAATGCGACGTTCAAAAAAAGAAAAACTTCTTTGTTTTCGTTTAAATTCTTTTGAAATCTACAGGACAAGCGATACTACTACAAAACAGCCGAGATAGTTTCATTAAGAATGGCTAAGTACTTTTTAAGATGTTGCCAATAGAAAATCGCGTTGCAAACTCATTTGATACAATCCGTATACACCGCCTTTCTACATGTAGTTGTCAGATTTGTTTCCTTCTAAGCCCCTTTCATCTTGTTTTCTCGACATTTCCAACCAGGGTGCCGTTTGCGTTCACTCCATACTCGCTATCCTCGGCTTGGTCGAGTTCATTAACTGTATCGTGTCTGCTGTCTACTGCTGTGGGGGACACTCCTGCTGCTGTGCCAAAGCCTCTACCAACCAGACCAATGCCAATACTGCTACCACGGTATGATACATACCTCACCTAGGTCCTATGTTACTCATTGAATAACGGGTCATGTTTTTCTACTTTGAAGCAATTTTTTTTAAAAAACTTTAGAGCGAAAGTCAGCCAAGAATATACACAGGGAATCAATAAATCTCGGGAAGTTTGGGGAGGGGGGGGGGGGGGAGGCTGGCTCGTATTAGATAAAAGCTTTCACCATTTTCTAGTGGCTATCTTCAACTAGAAAATAAGTGAAGTACTTCTTTTCTCAAAATTGAAATTTCTATTTGCAGTGTGTGCGTGTGCGTTTGTTTGCGTACGAGTGCGTGGGTTTGTGTGTGCGGGTGGGCTTTTGTGTGTGTGTGTGTGTGGGGGGGGGGGAGGGTGGCGGAGGGTGGGGTGCATATCTTTTATCTACTGTTTATAAGGTATGCCAGATTTGGTTTTGTTGGGGGCAGGCCGTACCCCCTCCGTCCCCCTCCTGGATCCGCTGTAAGAAAGAGTAAGAAGGAAAGGTGGATAGAGTAACATAAGAAGAGTTAGATATGCTCAACATACTTCCTCTCGCTAACATTGGAAAATACTTTTGAAAAGAAATGTAAAGACGCGCCTTAAAGTTGTCTTCAGTATCACAGATTTTTAGATTTTCCGGTAGTTTTTTTTCCAAAGTTCGGCCGATGTAACCTAAACGAAAGAGCGAGACCCGTAGAATTTAGTAAAGAGATCCAACAAAAGTGCATAAGATTAATTCGTAACATTTTTGTTTCTCATTTAACAGGTGCACTATTATGGCCAGGCACAGCCAATGACAGTAGCGGCTAATACTGCACCGGGTCCAGGTATTGGGATTTTTATCACCTTGAAGAATTGTATTTCTTGAAAATCGGTTGATTGCCGTATATGTTTGTAAAATTGTCATGGTCTGTTGAATGCCGGGGATGGATGCGTTAACGACCGTGGATCACATGGTTCGGCACTAATGTCCTGTGCCCGCCCCCCCCCCCCACTCAGTGTTATTTAGGGTACGCATATGCGTGTTCCAACCGACCCCCCCCCCCCCTTTTCAGCAAAAGTCCGGTGTGTAAAGTCAATACGGCTCGACCTTTTTCTTTTGTATACGAGCCTTTTTCAGTACACCCCCCCCCCCTTTCAGCAAAAGTCCGGTGTGTAAAGTCAATACGGGTCGACCTTTTTCTTTTGTTACGAAAAGGACATTTTGGCAACACGCATGGGGTCCGTCCGTTCTCGGAGTGTGGGGGGGGGGGGGGGGCGGGGTCCTGTGGCAAGACATTAATCTGCATTTGTCACTCTCCACCCAGGTGTTAATTGGGTACCCGGCAGGATGCGAACGTTAATGTGGTTGGATATAAGGCATGTGTGCGCTTGTCAAATGGCGCCTGGACCTGATCGGGTGCACTATTATGTGCTGATTAGCATAATGACTGGTATAATTATAAGCGGAGGGCCAAAGTCAAATATCATGCTAAGTTTTTTAATTGGTTGCCACTGTCTACCACACAAACTAAGCACACCTTGTTTATTTGACATTTTCTAAATCATCGCACTCAGCACTCCTCGTCCTTTGAGCGTCATGCACTGCCTAATTTTCAACCACTATCGTCCAATTAATATACGGAGATGCTGGCCAAAATTAGAGAGGAATCGTCCGCCAAAAAACAACAAATTTTCGGCTCAAAATCTTTTTTTTTCACACTGCAATAACTTTTTCGAAACCAAGTCCATGCGATTGTGCCCAATGGTAAGGCAATCTTCCTCATTATCAAGTCCCTGGAAGAAGACTTAAAGACCGTCAATACTACTGGGCCAGAAGGGATTAGACCACACAGCAAGGTCACTGACAGTTGGCTATATCTCATTAACTTAGCTCTCAACTAACATAAGAAAAAGAGGATCATGGGGGACCAACAGGCACCGATTGGGGAAGTTTTCTATCGAGGGAGCAAGTAGCTACAGGTAGGACAGTGGGGCTTTAAAGCTGTCGGTTTCCTAGTTGTTTACTAACAAGCTTATTTTATATACATGCTTTCTTTAATAGCAGTCAGGTGAAACAATCGTCATTAAACAACAAATAGATATTTTAAAAAAAACTGTGTTCAAAACTTGGTGTTGACATGTTTATTTCCGAAAGGGTCTTCGTAAAATTTTCCTGGGTGCATTGTAGTATTATCCAACGGTTCATTTTTAATGAATAACCTAAAGGAAATTAACAAATTTCCTTTTCTACAAAGTAATGATTGTTAATATCATCCTTATTATTATCATCCTTATTATTATCATCATTATTATTGATATTGTTGTTATTACTGTTTATTATTAGTATTACTTTTAGAATTAGTAGTAGTTGAACTAGTACCATAATTATTCTAATAATGATGTTCATCATTAATATTGATATTATTTTCTGTATTATTTATGACTTTCATTACTTTTAATATATTTCAGCAGAAAGCGGTAAATAGATGTCTGAATACTGACCAATGACATCATGATGACGTGACATCCAGTATCTACACTCAGAAGAATCCCAAACCAAGCCTTACATCAAGATGATTGGCACTGATCGAAATATTTACTGAAGAATGTATGACAAATAAAAATAATTGATATGTTACACATGTTTGTTAAGCTTCAAGTTTTCCTCAATCTAAAAAGCACAAAAATACCATATCAATTACTTATTTACCGAATTTCTACTGATTGATGCAAAACCAAATTACATAATATTATTAATGGGAATATTTTTGGTGTATATATATATATATATATATTGAATTATAGTTATTGCTAATATTGTGAATTGTAACTAGAAAGTGAACTAACTATTGATGACAATTCATTGTCTTTGTTAATCATATTGTATTTTAACTAGTATTATTTGAAACAATTGCGATAGAAATATGACATTTTGTAATTGTAAATTGTCATGCAATTCAGCCCAGGCTGCGAAATGATGATATTAACAAACTGAACTGAACTGAACTGATCAAACTTGCCGGAGTTCATATATCCACCTATGAGGGGTTAACGAGGAATCACTTCCTTAGGAGTTAAGGCCACTACAAATTATAATGGAATGTATTCCAAAGTTGTGGATGAATTATTGTTTCAAGAGTTGGGATGAAAGCTAACGGTGCAAACACAATTAAGTACATTAGTCAGATTTTATCATTTTCAAAAGAATTTAAAACGTATCGCAGCTTCATAAACAGGCTGACTATTGATATTATTTTAACTCTCATATTTTCAAGACAAGAGTGGTGTTTCTAAAATGTCACTGTAGGGGCCTTTTTAATCTGTACAACATTATGTATATTTTTGAATACATTATGATTGATAATACACTTCTAATGATTATCCTAGATATTTTTTTCAGATGTAATAATATATAAGAAACAAAATGTATATGACGTATTATATAAATATTATAGCAGTTTAATTTAGTAAAAAAAAGATATATACCATGTATACAATATAAGGTTTTTTTTCTTCTTTTTTTACCTTTAAAATAATTATTTTTTATCGTGCACTTCAAGAGGCTTATTATGTATATATTTCGGATTGTTCAATATTCGTTTATGTTGTATTTAAACAAAAATTCGTGTACATTATATCTTCACTGCTTTCTAGCATAATTATGTTTCACTTATTCTAACTCTAGTAAGTTTTTGCACAAATCAGAAACAAATATTTCTCAATTGCATATATGTATTATTATACCTAATAATATGAGTAGGAGCAAAGGTGATTGCTTTTGTCTGAAAAACTGTTTCCGTGATTATTTGAAAATCTTTACATCTAGGTCACAAAATGTATGACAGGAGAAGAGAAGTTAAAGATATACCCAAATCCAATCCTTAAAGATTCTAAACATACCCAAAATCAACTAAATCTTTATCTATTGTACGTGAGGTCGGATGAGACCGTGGCTTTAAAGGACTTTAACATCGCTAGTGCCTTTAACATTTAATCAGTATATATCTTTGTTATTTTGACTTTATCCCATAAAGTAGGCTATCAAAAATTACATACGATATAAAGGTTTTTATATAAACGGATGGTAGCACAGGCAATTCATTGTTACGTGAATATATTTTGTGTATACTATTAAACGAGGTGATCTAACAGGCTTGGTACTTCAAAATAATGTACCATACATTTGGAGCGTTATCATATTATATTATTGTATCATTGTGATGGCGTACTAACTTTTGAATTAATTTATCAAAGATTTATTGCTAGATAATAGAAAGCTTGTGTGAGTTTTACATAGTATTTGCGTTTCGGTGTAGCCTGTATTCCACAGCTACTTTTGAAAAATCAACTCGAGTGCATTTTCAATACCATATTGTACATACCATAAACATCATGTTCGAATATTATGTTATGTGAACATATACCGAATGTGGTATCAATAAATTGAACGGGCATTTCATTGCGTTCATTTTGACACCAATGTCAATCTATTACAAGCATTTAACGGGCTGTTACGTAATGCATAGTAAATTCATCATTTTGGGCGATAACTTTGCGATGACGTCATTAAATATTACCAAACTTCGCAGACAGTGTCACGTAGGCCTATATAGATACATACATCTGCCAGGTTTCATTGACATAGGTATAAAAATTCGTTTAACACTCGGTTTAATGCACTCTATTGATTCTATTTTTCGGATTATTCAACAGAGAGAGATAGAAGTTAACATTCTCATGACTAACGACTTTGCATTATCATCTTTATTTGTTTAAAATGCTATTTGTACAATATTTGATGACAATAAACAGCTCTCTGGTACTATTTTTATGTAGCGTGATAATAATAATAATGATAATAATAATAATAATGGTGGCTTCTTGTATAGCGCACATGTCCGTCACGTTCCTGGCGCTGCCCCAATTATTACCCTGGCTTTAGCAAGGCAGCCACTGCGGCGCTCTAGCATTTCAAGGCGATAAGGCGATCTAGCTAGTCTGCCTGATTATTATTACAATTTGAGTCATTTCAAGCAACAAAATATTTTTTAGTATTCTTGCATTACCTCAAAATGTCGTGAAAGGTAACACAAATTCGTGTGTTGGCTGGTCTGCTACTGGATTCCCGCACAATTATATTATATTTTATTATGACGTCATTTTTTTCAGAACGCCATTCGCCCCCTTTTTGTTCTTTTATTTCCTTGAAATTTTGCAAGCATATTTTGGGGGGCCAAACACAGGGCATCTCGAAGCCGGATTTCGAAAATCTGTCAAGGAGGTCATTATCGACGCGATTTTATTCCCTGCATGATTATATTAGTATGGACGGCCATTTAGGCCACAGCACGCTTCACGAAATGTTCTTCTTTCACCAAATTCGATTCATTTTGCACGCAGTGCTTATGAGCCTATCTAGGTCTCTTCCACTATCCCGATATTTTACAAAGTTCGTATAATCTCTAGCATCCCATCAAGGTCACTGAACTCTTCGTTTTCCGAAATCACTCATGCGTGACCGTCCGGGCGCCATTTTGTCTTTCAGGCCGTTATTGAAGCATGTGTTTTGGCCTACCTAACTCATTATCCTAGATGCTAAAGACTTTTAACAAACTGCTCTGGATAGCCCAAGAGACGCTCTTTTGTCTATCACGTAAAAACCACTGGCGTAAATGCATGCATATCGTTCTAATACGATTGAAGTTCTAGTTAATATTATTATTATTATTATTAACTGAAACCCTATTGTAAACGTTGGTAGCTGGGGTTTTAGTTAGATGAACAAACGTACTTGTTACCCGAGTTACATCAAGAAGACAAACATGAGACCTACAGCAGGCTGCATAATTAAACAAATTACATTACCTCCAATGGTGGGGAATCGGTCGGTTTGTAGTCGGCACAGAATCGGCTTTGGCAGTGAGGGTAAGGTATAAGAGAGTCTATGAATTAAGACTAATACATACATCCGTCCAGGCACCAACGAATGCCAAGAAAGCGCGTCACGAATGTAAATATGTTTCATTTTGCAACGCGAGCATTTCCATATACTACAGTTCTATATGACTTTGTGAAAAGCTATCTCTCGAAGTAGTACTACCAAGATTATACCGCCCTGCTTTCAACTAATACTTTTTTTAAGGGAAGAAAATAATAGAACTATTACTGGTAAGTGACTTATTCTATCTACCTATCATTAATATTAATATCGTCACGAGAAAAGCATGATTATGTATGAGGTTGGGTTATATTATGAACGTTTGTATAAATATCATCCAAATTGTGATGCAGAAGATCTTTTTTCTCACATAAGTGAAGAACATTTTCAAAGTCTCACAGAAGAAGAGAGTATTTCTTTAGAGGGAGAAATTTCTCACAGTGAAATTGAATATGCAATAAAGAATATGAAAAATAATAAAGCTCCTGGTCAGGATGGATTTACTGTGGAATTTTTCAAAGTTTTCTTTGAAGAATTAGGCATTTATATCATGCGTAGTATGAATTGTGCTTACACTTCTGGAAAATTATCTATCTCGCAAAATATTGGTTTGATAACATTACTTCCTAAAGGTGACAAAGTGAGACACTTTATCAAAAATTGGAGACCAATTTCTCTGTTGAATGTTGTTTATAAAATACTATCAAGCTGTATTGCTAATAGACTAAAAAAGGTATTACCTCGTATTATACATGCTAACCAAACAGGTTTTATGTCTGGACGATTTATTGGTGAAAATATTAGAATTTTATATGACATTATTGCTGATACTGAAAAAGAAAATGTTCCTGGAATGATTTTGTTAATTAGGTGATACGTACGTAGACGTATCACCTTTTGATTTCGTCAAGATTTTCTTTATTATTTTTATTATTCTGCCATGAATTTGTTCGCAGGATATCTCAAGACTGAATGAAGCCATTGTTATGAATCTTTCAATGATGATAGATCTTAGTCTAACTTAGAACTGCGTGAATTTTCAAAGACTCAAAGTCATCGTGACGTCATCCAGGCGCCATTTTGTGAAAATTAACTAATGATCATATCTTTATAACGAATAGTAATTTTTCATTCATATTTATCATGATTAAGATCAATATCCGTCCGGTCAAGTTGAGGTCAATAAACGTGCGTGAATGCGCGCGTGCGCGCTCGTCCGCGCGTTTACGCGCGCGCAAAAATTAAAAATGCTCTAAATCATCCCAAATTGTTTTTGCATACGTTTCAGGCCATATGGAGCATTTGATAAAGAAATTACGCACACGCGCATGCGCGCGCGTTTTCGCGCGTACTGGCATTTTGCAACATAGAATCGCCGATTTTTTTCTGTCATCATATTCGGTACATTTTTCCAAGCATTTTGATAATTTGTTCACCTTTTATTAACGCAATGAGCGTCCGTCAAAGTTGACAGCACGCGCGGATTTGCGTTATCTTTATCCACAATACATGGGCAAAAACAATCCTATATAAAATTCATTGTAACTCTTTAGAATAGATAGAAACTCCTAATATTTTGTCATATTTGGATAGATTATGAGTCGGAGATATGATTTCATGTCTCATTTGATCCTCAATTAACTCATGACGTCATCATAATGGCCTCCAAACTCAAAATTTTAATTTGCATATTATGACGTCAGCATATTTTTGGAAAATTGATTGTATCTCTGTAAATATGGATCAATTTTCTTTTTAATTTTGATATGTTCTAGCTGAGACAGTTTTCTACAAATGTAATATTCACATTTTTATTTTTGACAAAAGTATCATGGTGTATTTTTGCGATTAAAGGAGGCATGTCAATTTTTCGCATTTTGCGTGTATTCTCTATGGGACATGACTTTTTCTCAAAACTGGATTCTACACTCCTGTCTTTCGCGAGCAAAATCTCCGTTGTTTTAGCTTCGTTTTCGCTGAGCTTCGGATATGTTGTAGCTGAGACAATGAGCTATCAAAAGTGTGCCCTTTATTTTTCGATTAGATGCCGGGATCATGCTCATATTTCACTTGCAAAGTAGGATTTCTGAATTCCATTTCCTGTTTACGTGTAATCGCTATGGGAGATGTTTTGGTATGTAACGCACTTGACTTCCAACCTCGAGATCCCTGGTTCGAGTCCGGGTGTCTCCAACACTTTTTTTTTTCTCACTTTTTTTTCCTTTTGACCTTCACTGTACCATCTCCTTTGATTATTTAAACACGTAGATTCGCAAATAATGTCATAAATAACCCTTTTTACTTTATTATTACCCTATTTTTACTTAATCCATTACTTTTTGCGTGTAATCCCTATGGGAAATGACTTTTTCTCAAATCTGGAGTCTACATTCCTGTCTTTTGCGAGCAATATCGCCGTTATTTCGGCTTGGATTTTGTTGATTTTTGAGTATGTTGTAGCTGAGACTATATGCTATCTAAATCAACCCTCATTTTTTCAATAAGATGTCATGATCGCG